AAGCACCAATAAGTGCATAATAATCCTGATTGCTACCAAAGCATGGGCACTAGTACAGGCAACTTACCCGGTGGGTAACATGCGCAAGAGTCATAAAAAGGTTCTATGGTGGCATGCAACAAGAAAGGACTAGTACAAGGAACAAACCCGTTTCTCCTTTTTCAAATGCTTTTGATTGAGAAAAAATAGGTTAAATATTAATTAATTAAAGACTAGAATGTATAGCAAAACAGTGAAAAATGATAACTTCACTTTTAAATTACAAAAAATGTATGCAGACTAAATTTAAGTCAGCAGTCACCGTTGCCAGAAGGCCTAAGTTTGTGGAAAGCCACAGGACAAAAATGACCACTGTGAAGTACACGCACTACCATTAGAAAGGTAAGAAACTTCAATTAATATTATAGTAATGAAAGAGGTCTTAATTTGTCACTGATTTTCTCACATTGAACGCTCATCGATTTGAACAGGGCACACTTTTTGATCCATATTTGTCACCTAACCAGTACGCAGGCAAAGGCCGCAGTGGCGTCCAAAACATCAATTGCTTTTCAGCTGAATATGTGAAAACTTAATTCGTTAATGTTGCTAGTGTCACGTTTTACAACGCAATATGTGGAGATTAAGTCGTCGACTGAACTAGTCAAACAGCTTCGACGGGAAATTAGTTTGATGAGGAAATATTGGAATTTTTTTACCGACGATTTTAGTTGACTTTAAAAATCCTTTGACATTAATAAATGACTCAGAGAGCCAAATCCTCAATGTAGAACTATAGTGACCACATTTCCGCAGATACACGTAGTATCTAGTAGGTATAGCCAGAATGATTATTTATTCAAACCATCCGGGAATGCCAAGCTAAGACAAAGCACACACACAAAACAGACGCAGTGGAAACTCACTATCTTTGTCCACCGAGAAGTAGTGTACCCAGATGTCCAGCATGGAACGCATTAAAGCATCCGCCTTGTGTTTGACTAAATGATTCCTCGCTGCCAAGCTTCGTCCAATTTGGATAAAGTCGTGACAACGCAGCTTGCCGGCCTGATTAATATCCAGGCGCCGAAACATGGTACGCATCTTGCCCTCCCAAGTGGGTCCACACTCACATTCCGGGTAGTCCTCGGGTCGTTTATAGTTTATCAGGGCTCCCCACAGCTTCACAGTTTGCACCTTGATGTCCTCGTTGAAAAAGTACTGCGCAATCACACCCTCAAACTGCTCCTTCGACATCTTGCCCTTCTTATCCTTGTCATTATTGTTGTCCACCAGCCGGAAGATCAGTTCCGCCTCCTTGGGGTTGCCTCGCCAGGCATCAATGATGCCCACAAACTCATTCAGCGCAATTAACCCATCGTGGTCGGTGTCCACCAGATCGAAGAAGGTGTCCACCATGATAGTCTTGAATTCCTCCTTGAAGGTAGTGTTGATGCACTTGCTCATGGCCTCTATAAACATAGGCTCATTTAGCTGTGCGTTGGTGCGTGTGTGTTCCTCACCGATGGTGCAAATAACGCCATACCAAAGGTGGACCATGTTTTGCACCACTTGGTCCTCAAAGAA